AAACACTTTGATGGTTCTGATTCAGTTTCTTTCATTTTGCCTTTTTTCTTGCCATTTTTTTTGGTGTATGTGTGGTAGCCGTTTTCTTCACAGATCATAGTCTCTGGAACAACGTCGACTTCTATGACACATTTGTCAGATGATGTCATGTTCTTGTTGAGAACTCCAACAAATCGTGGAGGTTTGATGCATGCCTGAGCAGCTTGTTTATGTTTATATTCAAAATACCCATCAATGGCAGATTTTAGTTCATTTGCAAAAGCCTCTCTGTCCTCAACAACCACTCCCAACACTTGACCGTGGGTGAACTCCGGTTTGTCTCCTATTCCAAAATGTATGGTGCCGTTGGTGCGGCTGTTCATGCAGGCAGCTGAAAAGCGAATGACCTCAGATGTGAACTTCTCCATTTTAGTTTCTTCTGTTGTGCTGGTGAAAGCTTTGTACTCATGGCAGGGTTCAATCAAATCTGAGGCACCTGATTCCGTAACATCAAGAATGCTGCTTTCCATGTATCTGAATATATCGTGATATCTACAAAATGGATACGGCTTGCACGGTTTCCCAGGCTGGTTTCTAGAACCTACTGGCTCTTCTTTTTTAAATTTCACAACTTCATCTCTGGCACGAATGAGAAGTTTAGCCGGTCCAAAAGTCACACCAATTTTGGTTAAGTCAGTTGTATCTAAAAGCAGAAGACTTTCACCATTGATGTCTTCATTAAACAATATTTCAGCAACTTTGTCATCCACGCGATCCAATTGGAGAACCCATTGCCTCACTTGATGTTTACTCCAATCTTGTATGTCTGATGACAGATCATCCTCCTGGCACTGAAATATAAAGTCCAGTTAACATTCCTAATTTCTAAATTAATTATTAGACACTTCAATATTTAGTGAATATGTCTAGTATTATGTGGAACAGTTTAAAACATGAACCCTATGTTTTAATATATAAAAGCTCACTTCTTAATATTTGTTTTATTGAAGCATTTTTCAATTTTTACTTACCTTCATTTCACCTTGATCTGCCATGACAGTACTGCTTCCTCTTTCACAAATATAGATTAGTGATGCTACAAAATAATTTAAATAGAAATATTAGCAATAGAGGAAAAGGAACTGTATTGATTGTAACTCAAATTAAGCAAGTTCAGCCTCACCTTAATTTTTCCTGACCATCAATGATGGCTGGTCAACTTTTCACACATATTGGTAATGCTGCAAAAAAGTAGAAGTATTATAAACACATGGCTGAGGCAGTTTAGGAGTAACAAGGGAGGGATTTAAGAACCAACGAGACTAATTTATTTAGTTTCAGGGGGAATATGTACGACATTGTTAATCTCAATAATCGTTAAGATGTGCTTTGCTATACAGGATTTCAGTATATATACAGTTTTTGGTCTCCTTTATTTCTGTGGTCTCGATAGGTGCCAAGTATTGATTACAGGGTAGGCTGTTTAGCAATTGGTTACCCAGCAACCACACAATTGGAATTCATGTAGTATATGACTTAGCATTGTCTTCATGAAATAAGCAAGAACTTGAAAAAGATGTAATCTGGATGGCAGCATATATTGCTGAAAACCTATAAGTTACCATAAGTTGGCACCTGTGAAACTAAAAACTGGAAAAACAGTATAGTGCTAAACAAATATTTTGAATACAATTTGTATAATTTGACTGTCTTTTGAAAGAACATCCCAGAGAAGGTGAGCATTTTTAAAGTAAATATGGGGAATTCATCATTCTATGAAACTGGGCAATTATTTCAACAATTTAATAAATGAAAGATTCAGAGACTCTAGAGAGGTTTCTGCACACAGGAGCCAGGACGCAGAGCTTAGATCTTGATAGGGTTCAGGCCTGTACTGCATTAGAAACAGACCTGTGTTGGAGATCACTGCATGACCTTACAAACACTTCTGAAAAGTGTCGGCAGTTAACACAGCTCTTTGTTGCATTCACACATGCAAGGAACAAACA